TAAATGAACAGTAACACCATTTTTAAAAATGAACAGTAATGTTCTTAAAAATAAATGCACGGTACCGTTCTTAAAAATAAATGAACAGTAACGTCATTTTTAAAATGAACAATAATATTCTTAAAAATAAATGAACAGTAACGTTCTTAAAAATAAATAAACAGTAACTTTTAATTATTTATATATATATATTTTTTAAAATAAAACAACAACTAATTAATCAAAAGATAAAAAATAATTAGTAGAGACTATTTCGGGTGAACAGTAACAGAAAAGAATTTTTTTAACGAAAAATAACTGAAATAATATGAACAATAATTTTTCGGGTGAACAGTAATAGAAAAGATTTTTTCCTTTTTTCTGGATATACAGCAACCTATTCCAATGAACAGTAACTTTGGAAATAATTTTTTTTTCTTCCGGATTTAAATCAAAAGCTATAAACTACTCAATCTTCTAGATTGTTAGAAATTTATCAAATAATTAAGATTATAGCATGACATAAATCTGAATAAAATAAACAATTAAATCTGGCTTGATCAGGAGCAGTCGTGTATTCACTGTCCTAGAAGATTGAGGACCCGCCTATCGCCCTGACGCAGATGATCCCCTCTTCCCTAGCGGAAAAAATCCCCGGAAACGGCCGGTCTTTGCACTCGGGCGAGAGTGCAGAGCTTCAGCTCAGATGAAGGAAGTTGCCCATAAAATAAAACTAAGATGTAGATGAAAATAATATGTAGGGGAGAGAAGAAAAACAAGAGAAACTTGTTGTATATTTTTTCTTATCATTTTGAGCTCAACATACGGAGATATATATAGGGTTGGAAAAGACGTTACAAAACCCGTAATTAATTCCGTAACGTTCGTTATAAATTTTGTAACGTTCCCCATAATTATATAGCCGTTACACATATTTTTAATTGCTAATTAAAATATGTTTTAATTATAAAATTTATTAGTATTCATTAAGGCAAAATTGCCTTTTCTTAACAAAATATCTAACATGTGAACTATCTTTAAAGGAGGTTTTTATTTCAGTCAACTACTTCCCATACAAAATTTTCATGAAAACCCAAAAATACCCTTTAAAAACTCACATTCAAGATGCATGACTCACTTTGTTAATGTTTAGATCTAGTTAGGGTACAAGCCACGAACTTTAAACTTACATTTTAAGGTTATTTTTTGTTTTTTTTAGTGAATTGAGATTTCGCTATGAGGTGCTTAATTGAAACAAAAACCAACTTTAAAACCGATTTACGTCAGAATTGAAAATGAAATGTGATTTCTGTGAAATGACTCTATCTTTAAGGTCGTTTTAGGAAAAAGCCCTACAATCTGTCAAAATTATAACTTGCTTCTGGACGATATATCAGCTCGTTCATTTGTAATTTGTGCTACTTGGATCTGTGCATTGTCGCTTTCATCAGCAAACAATTTGATCTTTGTTGGTGGCAAATGGCAATCGCCTGAGCTACTTCAATTCTATGTGAAGCGGTACGTACCAGAGAACTTGAATATGAAATTGTCATTGAAGCACGATGATGGAGACATCTGACGGTGTGCTTGAGGTTGGATTCACATTTGCTTGCATTAGGCTATAATATCCACTCAGTGTAAGATTACTCCCTACGTTATAAATAATTAATACTTTTGAAGAAAATTTGTGGACAACCTGCATTTTAGTTGAGTAATAATAGAGCATATGATTCAAACATACGTGGCAAATCCTTTTCTTTTTTAAATTCAAATAGCATATTTCCAACTTGTTAGAATATACTCGATCAAGGCGTGTAACATTTTCAATCGTAACCTTAGCTTAAAATAACAATTAAATAGTTAGTATGAAGCTGGAGGATTTATCGAGCGTCTCAAAAAGACAAAAAGCAGTGTACCGATATGTTTGTGTTTAACTATTTCCGTTATTTTTCATTATCTGGAACAATTTTCTCTCTGTACGATTAGAGCTAGAAATGAAAGTACACAATTTTATAGAAAAACTAAAAAGAAAAGTCTGCATAATTTCAATGTTCTGGTCTATAGTGTAAGTGATCCAGATTAAGAAAAAACAAAAACAGAATTATGTATTCTACTATATACGTCTATTCTCTTTGTCATATCTAGAGATAGGAGACCTGCATTGGCGGAGCCACGTGGGGCTTGTCCTGGGCAGCTGCTCAGGGTAAGAAAGTAAAATCGGGGAGCCCCGTCGTCGACTTCTGTAGGTCCGTTGTCGACTCCGACGTGGGGAGCCCCTCGACGGCCGAGCTCGAAGAGCTTCTCTTCGCTTCCCCGCTCAAAGCTAGGTTTTGTACCGACTCCGATGACGGAGGAGCAAGAGGACGGGGCATCTTCTTCACCGATGTTTTGCGCCTTAGGATTCATCGCCAGCCAGGATTATTTTTTTCGCCCAGGGCAAAAAAAAATCTCTGGCTACGCCAATGGAGACTTGGAATGTCAGACTATCCAGAAGGAAATAAAATCATAAAATGTTTTTCGTACAGAAAATCATACAAAAAGAAGTGAAACTTTATGTAGGGTTTGAGAGTGCAAATTTTATCAGAATATATGCATGCAACTAAATAGGTGATTTGACATTGCTAAATTCATCCTTGATTTATATTTGGCGCTCAACTCTTCATATATTTTTTTGGCAAAAATACCAATTTGGTATATTTTTTACTCTTAGTGGTTGTTTGACATATAATTTTTTTCCGGCGACATATTAGTATATTTTTCCCCTCCGGCGACAAATAAGTCTTAAGTTTGGCCGGATCCCATTTTACGGTGATTTTTCTCACGTGACAACTCACGTGATGCAAATGTGGCACTAAAGCGTGGAACTTTTAGACAATTTGCCGCTTAAACAAACGATTACCTTCTCTTTCTCGTGGCGAAAGCCAGTGACAACTCGACGTCATCGGGAAGCAGAGGCTGCAGAGTCGAACTAGAGCTCTCGTTCTCCCTCTTCCAAGACGAGCGCCATCACTTCTCCACAACTGGAAACCTCCTGCTTGAAGAGAAATGGTTAGATCTCTCAGTAGATGAACCTAGATTGGGGGGGGGGGATCAAGAAGAGGAAGCCTTTTACCTTACTTGAGAAAGACGTCGGCGATGAAGCTGGTGGAAGAGGAAGCGGGCGCTGGTCTTCGTGGGAGGGGGGGTCGTAGGAGAGGAGGTCGAGGAGCTCGGCACACCAGGGCAAAGTGCATGACGATGGCTAGTGTGGGTCGGGTCAAGAAGCCGCGACGTAAGAGGATTACGTTGGGGTGGCGGAGGGAGCGGTGGTTGACGATCTCCCGAAGGACTAGCTGGTCGACGCGGTCGCCGTAGGGGATGAACTTCACGGCGACGAGCTTGCTGGTGGGCTTGTACCACATCAGGCGGGTCACCCTCCCTCCGTTGCCATCGACGAGATCGCGGATCAGATCGTAGTTCTCGAATGAATCCATTGTAGAGGTTAAACATTTTTGTAACAGGGGGTTAAACATTTTTGCCCCCAAATATTGATAAAAAAATGTAAAACATCCTAACTATCACCACGCTAGAAGCCACGTTGGGGCCACGTTTGCATCACGTGAGCCATCACGTGAGAAAAATCATTGTAAAATTGAATCCGACCAAACTTAAAGCCTATTTGTCACCAGAGGAAAAAAAAATACCAATATGTCGCCGGAAAAAAATTATATGTCAAGCTGTCACTAGTAAGGGTAAACAAAATATACAAATTTGGTATTTTTGCCTATTTTTTTGAAAGAAAAAGCAGACAAGATGCCCTACGTAGTGAAATATAATTCAAGTTACAACCTCATATCTATTAAGTTAATACACCGGATCTTAATTATTTCTTAAATTTAACAAGCCTCCAAATCTTCATATTTTTAAAATTACACCCACATAATTTATTAGGATGTAACCGGAAAATTTTGAGTAGCTACAACTAAATCTATCCACGAGTGTTGTTTAAAATTTTTTACTCGATTTGACGCTATAATTAGAAATGTAAAGATTTGTGGGCTGATTATTAAGCTAATGAGGAATTTATGGCCTAGTATAGGCACAATATGGATGTTTTTATAGTAATGTGACTCGGAGGGATTGTTCCCCTATTTTTTTTTATCACCGTTAATTTTGCTTGACGCGTTCACTTTTTCACATTTGATTTGATGAATGGGGCAGCTGTTAGAAAAATAAAAGCAGCAGCAAGACGTTTAATTAGGGGTGCATTCGGTCCGGATAGGGCTCGGATACGATGCTTATCATATCCATATCCGCTTACTCATCTCGGATACGGATACGGATATACCTCAGTAAGAAAAATTTATAATCATATCCGCTAAAATCGGATACGATTACGGATATACATGCAGATATATAAGCGGATATGCATGCGGATACAAAACAGATATGAGAAAACTAGATAGTATTGAGAAAAACAGATACAAAACAGATATGAGAAAACTAGATAGTATTGAGAAAAACATAGTTCATGTGATACAAAAGAGTTTGTTAAAACTAGATAGTATTGAGAAAAACATAGTTCATGTGATACAAAAGAGTTTGTTAATATGTCCATTATAACTAAAAAGTTAAGATTAGACATCTTGATCATCAAAAGTAACTACAAATTCATAATCTAAGAATCGAAACTATCGTAAGAGTATGACTAATATATATTCAGATATTTTACTATAAAACCATATCCATAACCATATCCTATCGGTTATAGATTTGAGTAACCATATTCGTATCCTAACGGATACGGTTACGGATATTTCATCGGATACAGATATGGTTTAGCACCCCTACATTTAACACATTCTCCGATCTCCATGTCATTTTATATCCGGCCCGTGTAAAATATTCGGGTGGCCCAGCCCACTGGGTGACATCTTGTTGGGCTATGTAAAGAATGGACATATACATCCTGTGTCAGATTTAATATTTAATTAACTAAAAAACAAAACAGTAACCCAGAAAGCTCGAGTGAAGTAAAGAGAGCGAGATGCGAGAGACCAAAAAAACGCAGTAAGAAATTTTGAAATCTGGATCTTTGATTCTCGAGCAATGCCGTCGGTGGCATTCGACTCCCGATCTCTTCAGCTGGGGCTCGCCGCCGCCCTCATAGTCATCGGTTGCTTCTTCGCCGTCTCTTCGGATCCAATCCCTCCTCCGTCGTCGTCAGAGCCCCCGTTGATCTCTCTTATTCTCTCCCCAATTCCTCCTTTAAAGGTGCGAAATCGTCTCAATTTTGTATCGGAGTGTGTTTGATTTAGTTTGTTGTTGTTTGATTTACGATGGGCTTAATGGCGAACTGCTTGATTTGAGGTGTTTTTGGGTCGAGTTTTCAATAAAATTCACAATGGGCTTGATGGGTTTTATTATTTTGTTGATAAGTAGTTGATTTGAGGGTTTTTGGGTTCAAATTCACGAGGAAGTTGTTTTTAGGAGGAAAATCGGGGGCTTGGTGCAAGTGCTGTTTGTGCATGTTGCTTGCTGATGATATTGCTAGAGAAGGGATGCTTAAAGAGTTTAATAATGAGCTTTGAAATGTGAGCTTAGAAGAGCTATTAGAAGAATTGGGGTGATTTTTTGTACTGATAGTCGAATATTTGTGAAATTTAGGGGGCAAATTTATAAGATGACTGTAAAAGTTGTTCGGAACCAAAGAGTAGGTTCTCAAGCCCAAGATCAACGCGAGAGTAGGATAATGAAAATGTGGAATAAACACAACACTAACAACCACAATCGAACAACCAATATAACATGGTTTGACCACAGCTCGGACCTACGTCCATCTGCAACCATGAAAAATATCTTCCACTATATCAACAAGAAGAGAACAATACAACTCCCAACACTCAAAGCTCACACAAAGTTTGAGACTCTAACAATGGGAACAATGGGAAAATACAATGGTTTGCCTCACTAGCTCCAAACATACGAACCACTTGTATAATCTGCTCCCAACTAAGAATAGAAGGACCCAGGTCTCCAAGATGATGTATAATCTTGAATAAATCAACCAAGACATGCTCTTCACAAACCCTAGCTTTCTCCCCCTCTTTCTCTTCTCCCTTTCATGAGAATATGGAATGATAAACTCTTCTTCATAACACTTAAGCCCTTATATGACTTAAGTCCCAACTCAAACACCTATGGGTTAAACCAGCTTAGCCAAATATCCATACAACTTAACTAACGGAATGTTTGAGTCCACTCATAGATATATGGACCCAACCCCAACAAAAATTCCATGCTTCATTGGTTGGAAGTTGGAACATTGACTAATTAAGATATATGTAAATGAAAAAAATCGGTTGTGAGCTGTAACTACTTAGGAGATTGGCATGTATGGTAATATGGTCAAATATAAGATAGGAAAGATTGCATCCATTCAAAGTTAGAGGTAGCGTTAATTGATGGGTTAACAAGGAATGACTTTCTAAGATGTCTAGGGGATAAGCAATAGCAATACCAAAAATAGAATGAGTTAGTGTGAAAGTTGATGGAACAACAAGTAATAAGGGTATATCAAAGAGACACTGGTTGACTCTATTTAACAAAAAAAGAGCTGGTTGACTCTATTAAAAAAAACACAGGTCACATGTTTTTACAAAGAAAATGGTCATTAAAAAACTCCGAGAAAAAGGATTTTTGTGGGCAAACCCAGAGATTTAGGATAAAGATTCTCTTCATGTCATGTTATCGCTATGACTGAGTTAGGGTGCTTTCATACGGCTATGTTCATTTAAATTTCAATTTGAGTGCATAAGATTTACGGAGAGAGGCCTATCCGAGGCATAATGATGCCTTCGATTGTTGATCCTTTGTTTGCCATTGACAGAGGCAAGAATGGGGAAGCTTGTCATCTATAACGCTGCCTCCAACTGGTGATAATTCTTACATAGTGATCCCCATATTCTGCCTTCACATGTCCATTTTCTATATTTGGAATTGATGGATTGAGAAAGGGAAGGTGAAGGTAAAGTGATGGAAAATAAAGGGAAGAGGTGAGTGTTTCATCAACTGAACTCAAGATAAGGGCATGTCAGATGCGGTTGCATTCTCTAAGCTAGAGGAAAACATGAAAGAAAAATCACTATAGATCTATTCTCCATAACAAATAGGAGCTTTTATGAGGAATTTTCTTAGAATTGTTTATGTATATGTAACATAACTATTGTGAGGGATTCCCCAAGAAAATGTATCTATTGCATTGGATATGTTAGTGTTGGTTTGCATGCATGCAATGTTTTAAATATCGGCCGACAAATGATATTATCGGTGATTTATCAGTTTTGGGGTCCTTTCGCTATGATAAGTTCGATTCTAAATCGGTTATCGTTTGTGGATGTTTATAGCCGATAATTCAACGATAAAGTGAGTTATCGGTCAATATTGTTGGCCTAAAAATCGGCCTTTAGCTTGAGTTTTAATTTCGGGCAACAGACACCTACTCAATGCACTTTAAACCCAACCCGACCCGAGTTTCTACTATTGGTTAGTAATCCTTAACATAATTATTTACATTTTGTATGTTTATATTTCATTAAGTTTGGTTAGATTACGTTCTAGAATATTATATTATGTATATCACCATCCGGTAATGTCACTCCGATAAACACTACTTATCCCCGATATATCTCCGATATCTGCTATCTGATATGGATTTTAATCGTCCGATAAATCCCCGATAATTGATATTTAAAACCTTGCATGCATGTAGTTCTCAATTGGCTTAGGGGGTGACCTAATTCCATTTAACATACTAGATTGGTGATTTGTATCTTATTTCTCTTTCAATATTCAAACCAAACACTATATTTCATCTGGACTGCTCATGTTTGTGTGAAGTGTGAACCAAGTCATGTAGCAACTCTATTTGGTCTTCATGTGCATTGATGTTATCATTTACATTAAACAACCATGCACTGGGAATGTGCTACAGAACATATTATCTTGAATTGGTGTATGGTTTATTAGAAACTGCAATATGGTACTTCCTCAAGGTCAGGTTCAAGAGACAAGTGAGAGCTTATACATATTTTTCCATTTAGTATGAGCTTCACACAGTTGAAATCTCATACCATTGAAATGGTTATACAATCAATTGATTCCTAATTTTGCTTTCGTGAACATGATTGTCAAGGGCCTCTATGATAGAATAGCATGGGCAATCACTTGAAATAAACACATACTCTCATTCTATGAACTTTCTTATAATAAATAGAATATGGTCCTCTTTTCTTTCTTATGATCATTAACTACAAGAGTTACTACTAGTAAAATTGCTTTCTATTCAAGTAAGGTAAAAAATAAAAAATGTAGGATTAGATATTTGTCTAGAGTAATGTATTGCTTACATATTCATCTGTGTAAACTTACAATTATGTATATTTCCTCTCACCTATGCATGCACGGATTTTCCTAGTGTTAGCGCATGTGTGCATCTATGTATGTGTATACAAGTGTGCGCGCGTGCATGTGCCTGTGTTTTTTTTGGTGTGTTGT